TTATTTATTTATTTATTTATTTATTTATTTATTTATTTATTTATTTATTTATTTATCATGCACGCATAGGTGCGCTACAATGTCAACAGATAATCATGCACAGAAGCAAACAGATGCAACATCCAGGTAGTATATAAAAGAAGACAAAACAAAAGAATACAGCAACACAAATACACGCAAGTAAGAAACCACTCCAGAACTTAAGTCTTCTCAGAAATCATGCATGCCTATCAAGCTCATTAGGTCAACCTTCTTCAATTTTCTTCAATTTATGACTAACTCATTGCGTTATGACTACTATATTACAGCAATAGCGGTCGTGTTTCTTCATCACGTGACGTTCCTTCACAACCGAAAATGCGTGACTCCGGTGTAGAAGTGAAGAAGAGTAGACCTGAACCAGTACTCAATTTCGAGTGAGTCGCTCCGCTTTTTTATCGGACACTATTGACGATAGTGAAATTTGGCTGTGAATTGGTCTGTGGTTTTATGTTCGCAGCTTCTGAACTCAGGGTTCAAAAAACAATCCATACCCATGCAGCATGCTGCAGGTATTCGAAACGATTTCAAGACATTAAAAGGAGCCAGCCAGAACGGCTCGATAACTAGAATCGTCAGTCTCACGCGATGATCTACTTTCGTTAGTTCTTATGCTATGTATGAGATCAGAGGGAGTTGGTGTTTCCAGCTCTTAACATTTTTTATATTTCTTTATGATCTGTTATTCGTACACGGCTAGCAGACGCCTGAGAAACGTGTTAGCCATGCGAAGAGGATAATGAAATCCAACTTGTTGCGCCAGTTAGCAAATCTTCCTTTTTAGTCATATTTGTGGGACACAGTAGTCGATGACAATTGACCAGAAAGACCTTGGAAAGGACTTTCCAAAGTTAGCTGCGTACCAAAATTCTGGGCGTACCACGGGTTTTCTAGAAGGGAAGGTTCCTTAATCAGATCGACTCTTCCAGACGTTCTCCTGCATGTTTCAAGAGAACATATACGAATCACGAAGGAGAAGGGAGAGGGGGGTTTATCGTTCCTGTGCGTTTCAGGGGATGCTGAAAAATTTCCACCTCTTGCTGTCGTATTGTTTTGTTGTTCTGTTGAGATGGTACGTTGTCGAAATTTCGTTTGAACCGCAATGTACCCAAAGATATCCGTATCTTCTGTAGAAAAAGGAGGAAATGCCTTCACTTACAGAGTTCGCTATAAACTCGCAGAACTTTCCATCCTTTTTCCCGTGAGCGCATAGGAAAATCGAACTGCCTTCTCACAGTCTTTGCATGTACCTCTACCACAAGAAATGAATGATTTTGAGAAAACATTCCATAACCAAGCACCATCCTTTTCAACAGCTAAATGGGCCATCCTCTCTTCTTTTGGTGTGGAAGAATGCATGGTCTACAAGTACAGAACGAATCGTAAATAAATTATTCGAAAACGGCTGATCTCATGCATAAGCGTCGCTTTTGAATTGTGTATATGAGAGCATCCGAAACCCCGAATGGATCGCTTATCTTATAGAATGCAGAGACAGTTATTTCATTCGATTACTGTGTCTTAGCTATGGTGATGATTTCTGCAGTGAGAAGTGAAGGAAAAATTGAAAAGGATGGAGAAGATATCAGTTTGTGAAGATCCTCAATCCATTATCAAATGAAACTCGATTACTGAAGGCTTCTAAAGGAAAAAGAAATCGCTGGTTGATTCTCGAAAAACTTGGCCCTTTCCAGGATTGAGAATTGATTAGCTTTTTCCGTGATTGTACTTCTCATTCAGGGCACTGATGAAAACTGCAAAGAACATAGCAGAAGGAAAAGATCCCGGCCTCGATGCCGTACAGACCGATCGACCACAAGCCGATCGACTGAAGCAGAAGGTTTCGACCCAGGGCACGTACGTCTTTATTACCTAGAAGTTTGCATGAGGGGGGGGGGGAGGGGCGATGAGGCAGTTTGTCTGTCATCAAAATTTATATAGCATCGGATGACGAGTTACACGGAAACTCACGGTAAAATGTTCACAAGAGATTGCTCTATAAGCAGGAGCAATCGCTTTCACTCCTACACGGTCGCGACAAGGGGAAGTCATCCATAGTGACCAGATCATTTCACTTTTGTGATCATTAATTACTGAGCTTTGATACAGGTGTATTTATTTGTTCATTTAGTCACTCAATACCTCGCATTTCAAAGTCATCGGACTTTCCAAGTTCGAGGATTCCAAACAGTGTGTGTGTAACTCGCAGCAATGTCTACACGTTTGTTTCATTTATACTCTAACTTTGCCAGGAAAATCTCTTTTCGGCATTGTATACACAAAGGCAATAAGGGAGAACTGTGTGGTAGCTGTGTGGAGATGCTAGGTCTTCTAAATAGCCATAACTGCTAATCAGAAACAGCGCGTGATAAGAATAACCAACTCCTTCTTGTCCTCTTCAGCTCGTCTTTGTCCTCGGTTGTATTCTTTTGAGGATGGCTACTTGATGGTTGTTTAGATGAAGGAACTGTAGCGTCTCGCTTCGATTGAGAGAAGCAGTAGTCTGTTTGATGACGAAACAGTAGGTCCTTCTGAGCGAACGTGTAGGCTGCTGGCCGAGTTGACTCGGTTGTGTGACCCTCCAACTGGAGTCCTCCCGGAGATTCTGAAGCAAAAAAGTTGGATATCATAACAAAAATGATAATTCTTTGCATTCTTAATTCTTCTTTCTTCAAGAATTCTTTAATTTCTCCATTTGCATCAATGTTCCATCTTTCCATCTTTCTGTCCACAATTCTATCAAAGTGTGATGGAGAAGGATCAACCAGGTCCAATAAAGGTAGAAAAGATTCAGGATGGATACTTTTTGCTTTTTGCAAAGCATTGACTGAATCATGCAGGAATCTAAGTACAACTAGCAAATCTGTCTAAACTCAGTCACTTCAGGTTCGTAATTGTTCAAAAAGCAGTAGCGACCAGCAGATAAGTGAAGCACACAACAGTTTGAGCTTGAGGCCGCCAGACTCAATGAAAATATTTCAAGAAAAGAACAACTAACCCAGCCTGCTTCCCAAGTCTGGCGCTTGAACTTGACTCAGGTTCCCGACTGTTTGGAATCCTCGAACTTGGAAAGTCCGATGACTTTGAAATGCGAGGTATTGAGTGACTAAATGAACAAATAAATACACCTGTATCAAAGCTCAGTAATTAGTGATCACAAAAGCGAAATGATCTTGGTCACTATGGACAGCTTCACCTTGTCGCAACCGTGTAGGAGTGAAAGCG